TGGGTTTCAATTGTCTGACCCTGTCAGGGCACCAGCAATCCCAGATCCCACTTTTGACACCAATGTAGAGGCACAGTGATGCTCAACAACTAGGCCATACACTGAGAGGTCCGACAGGAGACTATTAGGGAAGCCAGGTTAGAGAGAGAAGAGAGGGGGGAAGAAAAAGGGGGGGGGAAGAAGAAGAAGCAGAAGTGGAGAAGGGGGAGGGGGAGGAGGAAGAAAGAAAGGAAGGTCCTTTTATTGTTTTGGGGCTGAGTTATTGCTTATTTATGAGGACTGAGCTACTTTTAACTTATCATGGGCCAGGTTGCCTTTTATGGGTTCAGTCCCATAGAAATTTAGGTTTAACTCCTCTGGACTGCTGTGGCCTTGTAGGGAGGGGAACTAAAGATAAGAGCAAGATCTCAGTTTGTAATAGCTAAAATTTGGAAAGAGACCATTTGCCCATCAGTTGGAGACTGGATAAAGAAGATGTGGTTTTTCTATAAAATGGAATACTGTTCAGCCAAAAAGAATGAGAAATTAGATTCATTCATACGAAAATGGATACATATTGAGGATATATTCCTAAGTGAAATAAGTCACACATGTGTAAATACCAACTAGTTTCTCTGGTGTGAAAAACTATAATGGTACATAAGATCCTAATGACATAATTGTCAATGTGAAGTAGGAAGAAAAGGGCTAAAGGTGTAGGGGAGGTGGGAAGGGTAGGGGAAAGGTAATGAGGGAAAAGAAAAAATATATGAGAAAATGAAAAAAATGGAAATAAAATATTTGTAAATAGGGAGGGGAGGAGGGGGTGAAGGGAGGGCAGGGACAAGGGGGAAAGTGAGAACCAAGACCTGTCATTAAAGGCACAAGATACCTAAAATGCACCAATCAATGAGGAAAAAAAAAGATAAGAGCATGAGGTCATTTTAAGAGGCAAGAAGAACTAGCAGAATACAGCCTGTGATGGTGGCGGTGTCAGTTTCCTACCAAATACTATTGGTGATGGCTGCAGATGCTAGTGGATATAAGCATACTACATGAGGAACATGAATCTCTTTCAGTCTCTGGTAGGTTTTTGTCTTCTTAAAGAGCAACATGAACTTGAGGTTGAGAGACCTTAAGAGCGAGGGTGCTACAATTGTTAACTATTCAAATCCCATTACTCTGGTTCCTGGCTGTGAACCACTGGACATGGTTTTCATCAATCTTAGCTTTATAATATTTGTAATAGGGACCATAGACATAAATGAGAGAAAGCATATTGCAAAGGGGTCAATATATTTTAACATTTAAAATTTTAAGGAAAATATTATAATAAAAAGTACAGTTCAGACACATTAATTGATGGATTAAAAATAGCCTCATGAAGTGCAAAGATTTAATATATGATAAAGATGACATTCCAAAATTAGTGAGGAAGAGATGGGTTATTCAGCAAACGTTGATACAAAAACTAGAGTAGAATCTTTTCTTCATCTCTCACAGCATTACATGTAAATAATCAGATTAAATGTAAAAATTAAAATATAAAATTATTAAGTGATGTTGTACATAAAGGCTTATCTGTTATACTAACTATAAAGTAAAAGACTGAAGATTTTAACTAAATAAAAATTTAAAAGTTTGACTAAAAATTCCACTACAAATAAAACTCAGAGATCACATGAAGAAAAATATCTGCCATTCATATGATAGATAAAAGGTTAATTTTGTTAGTATAATAAAAAGTTCAGCAAATCGTGAAGAGCAGTATGTTGTAATGACCAAAGGTCATGAACAGTAAGTTTCTAAACTATTTTACTTGTATGAAAAGATGTTCACCTTCACTCATGAAAAGATACTCAAAACTATAATGAAAAATTATTTTTTAACTCCAACTAACAACTATCAGAAAGTTTGCTAATGAACTATATTGACAAGAATTTAGAAAAAGTAAGGACTCTTACATTGCCAGGGTAGGCACAGGTCAGATAAAAAATACAGTGTGTTTAAATAGAACTTTATTATAGTAAATGAGACATTGCCATTATCCCCTGTCAAATACTCCCCCTCACTCTGCACACACTTAGCCCATCATTCTTGCCACTTTCTAAAGGAACTGTGGGAGTCCTCTTTCATGAGTGTCTTTCTGATGTGTGACCACAAATGCAGTGAATGATGCTCAGTGCCCTCCAATGGAGAGGAAGTCTGGTAAAAAATTACATAATATCCTCATCCACCTTATTCACTGAATCTGGTACCATGTGACTCTTCTGGCTCTTCCCCAAAGTCTAAATGATCTTGAAAGGGTAAACATTTTGAATGGATTCTAAACACACTTAACAAAAGAGGACCTCCAGAACTGCTTCAGAAATTGGCAAGAACAATGGGATGTGTTCAATGTTTTAGAATATTTTGAGGGAGCTAAATAATAATGTGCCTTTTATTGTAATAATTTTTAAACCATTCATCATATTTTTTTTATCACACCTCATCATATAGCTTCTATCAAGGACTCACTCTTTGGCAAGATCAGTCAAAATATTAAAAGTACATATCCTTAGCTCAGGCATTCCATCTTTGATATTTATCTTACAAATGTACTCAAAACTTACACAAAGTGATGCATTCTTCATTATAATATAGTTTGCAATACATGTCCCTTCATTAGAAACTGAGTATGTGAATTACAGAACATCCGTAAAATGAAATATTGTTCTGTTTTTGATTTTTTAAAATTTAATTTAATTTTCTTTCTCTCTCTCTTTTTTTTTGGTACTGGGGATTGAACTCAGGTCCTTGTGCTTGTGAGGCAGGTGCTGGAACTATTGAGCTAAATCCCCAGCCCCTTGTGCTGTTTTTCACAGAGGATGAAAACAGCTGTACATATTCTAACTTGAAAATATATCCACAGCAGTTTGTTCAAGTGAAAATTTCTGTATGTTACTCTTAAGTTTGAATAAAAGAAAAAATTATTAAATATACTTTCAAATGAATGGATTTTCTTTGGAAGAATACACAAGATACTAATAAGAGTGATTGCTTTCAGAGAAGATAACTAGGTAGCTGGAAAGTTGGAAAGGGAGGGAAGCTTACATTTTATTCCATGTACATCTTTGGACTTTTGTCTGTGTGTGTGCTAATCTATTACTAAAGTATTACAGTTTTAATCTTTGGCAGGTTGAGATCCAGCTATTCCAACACCATTTATTAAAGAGGCTATCTTTCCTCCACTGAGGATGGTAAGCTCCTTTGTCAAAGCTGAGTACATCTGAATTTGTTTTTGTGTCTTCCAATCTGTTCCACTGATCCTCAGATCTGATTCTTTGCCAGTACCATGCTGTTTTTATCACAGTGGCTTTGTAGTATAGTTTCAAATTGGGAATTGTTATACCCGCTACCATGTCTCTGTTGCCTAGGATGGCTTTTGCTCTTCTAGGTCTCTTCTGGTTCCAAATGAATTTTTGGATTATTTTTTCTAGTTCAGTGAAATATAGTGTTGGAATTTCAATTGGCATTGCATTGAATCTGTATAGCAGTTTTGGTACCCTTATCTTTCACCATTCACTAAATTAAAATCCAGGTGGATTAAAGATCTAAATATTAAAACAGAAACACTAAACTTGCTGGAAGTTAAGTTAGGCAGAACTCTTGAAGACATTGGCATAGGAAAAGAATTTATGAACAAATCCTCAGTAGCATGGGAACTACCAGAATCAACAACTGGATCTCATTAGAAAGCTTCTGCACTGCACAAGAAACCATCAACAGAACTAAGAGACAACCTACAATGTAGGAAAAGTTTTATCAGCTGCTCCTCAGACAAAGGACTATTAGCTAGAATATATAAAGAACTCAAAACAACCAGCCCCCCCAAATATAAAGACCCAATTCAAAAATGGGCATCTGAAATGAACAGACATTTCTCAGACAAAGAAGTAAAAAAAGCAAGTAAATACATGAAAAAATGTTCCACATCACTGATCATTCGAGAAATGCAGATGAAAACAACACTGAGATTCCACCTCACCCCTCACAAAGAATGGCTGCTATCAAGAAATCAAACAGTAGCAAATGTTGGTGGGGTTGTAGGGATTAAGGAACCCTTGTCCATTGTTGGTGGGAGTGCAGACTGCTGCAACCACTATGGAAATCAATATGAAGACACCTCAAAGAGCTGGGACTACAGATTCCATTTGACCCAGCCATCCTTCTGCTGTGTATCTTTCTAAAAGAATTAAAAGAATCATATCACAGAGGTATACGCTCACCTATGTTTATAGCAGTACAGTTTGTAATAGCTAAAACTTGGAAACAGCCCATTTGCTCATCAGTTGGAAACTGGCTAAAGAAGATGTGGTTTTTCTGCAAAATGGAATACTACTGAGCCATAAAGAATGAGAAATTAGATTCATTCATACGAAAATGGATACATATTGAGGATATACTCCTAAGTGAAATAGATAAGTCTCACATGTGTAAATACTGAATAGTTTCTCTGGTGTGAATAAACTATAATGGTACATAAGATCCTAATGATATAATGGACAATGTGAAACAGGAAGAAGAAAAGGGCTAAATGTGTCAGGGAAGTGGGAAGGGTAGGGGAAAGCAAATAAGGGAAAAGAAAAAAATATGACAAAATGAAAAAATGGGAATGAAGTATTTGTAAAGGGGGAGGGAGGAGGGGTGAAGTGAGGGCAGGGACAAGGGGAAAAAATGAGAACAAAGACCTGTCATGTAAACGTACAAGATCCTAATAATGAATGTAACTGTACTGTATACCTAAAATGTACCAATAAACTCAATGAAAAAACAAGTCACACACACACAAAATAATAAAGTCTTACATCAGTGATGTACACTTTACTGTGGCATGAGCTGAGGTTGTCTCTAAATAAGCTAGTCTCCATGCTTACTGGGGAATCTATGTGAGTATGAAGGGAAAAGAATGCTAAACAATGACTGCAACTGCCTTACCTTCAGCAGAAGAAACAAATTATTGACTCACCTTTGCTTTTCAGGTATGGCTTTTCCACCAAAAACCTGAGTCTCTGAATCCTCTGACCAAATATCTAAGTGCTACCACAGGCCTGGGAAATAATTATGTCACGATGCAAAAGGTAAATCAGTTCACATTGTTGCATTGAAGGTGCTTGCTGCTAGGCTATGACTTGGGTTCCTACATCCCTGAGCAGCCCTGTCATTCTGCACCTTCTCTTCCCTTGGTCTCCATCTTGTTCACTGGCACCACCAGTTTCATTTCTTTCTGCTCCCTTCTGCTGCTGAACTTTGCACATCTTGTTGCCTGTATGTAAGCTGTTTATATCCTCCTTTAACTTGATTGGTTTCAGTTCATTGCCGAGGTCTCAGTTTATGTCCCCCAACCTTCTGTGACCCTTTAGACCAGGCCAGGTGCTTGCTGCTAGGCTCCGTTATACTGGTTGTCTGGAGCACCCACTCACTCTGAGGTTTCCCCTCAGCATTTAAGCCTGGGAGGAGAAGGATATTCCCCCACACACCTTTCCTAACACACAGTTAAGTATGTTGCAGACTGAATGAAATACGAAGTCTCTATGTGAAGTTAACTCCCCTTTAGTATTTGATTCTGTTTGGGACAATTACTAGTCTTAATAGATTGATGTCTTGAAGATGCAGGGAAAGAAATCAAATCAGTACTGTGGTTTTGGGATTCAACCTTATGAAAAAAGATCACAACAGAGTTACAAGGGAATGAGAACATTTATTTTGAACTATAAGGACTATTTTCTTGTACCTTTGTCATGAGTAGATTTTTTTTTTCAGCCTCTTTTTTTCTTTGCTTAGCTTCTTGTGAGAAGGCATTGGCATAAAATAAATCTAAAGTGAGATAAGTCATGCCAGGCAAGTCATATGAGTAACAGTCCACATTATGTGTTGGTAACACGAGGTCTAAGGAGTGCCATGTTTACTGCTTTCCAAGCTGTTAGGAAGAATGAATCAATCTTCCATGATTTTTCAAGGTGTGTTCTGTGGGATACAAGTTCCTTGAGAACATTTGCAAGAAGCAATCCCCAAGGCAAATAAATTTGAGGAATATTTCCTATTACTTTGCCTTTTCTAAGAGACTGGTAGAAAGCACATCAGCTCAGTAAAAGCTTTGAGAAGTTGAAACAGTTAAGAATTGCATCATTTTGAAGAACTTTGTTGTAAGTCAATAAGCCTACATTTAGGCTGTCAGAGGTTATTTGAATTTACCCATCTAGTATCCTAAAGGGAATGATTTGCTTATGAAGTGGATAAAAATGTTTAATTCTACAATCCAGAATTCTTAGCATTCTGTGAAAGTGAACTGAATAAACTTTTTACCTTTGATTTATTTGGTGAAGTTAGTCCTCTTCTCTGTTAAAAGATGATATTGAGCTAGAAAGATCCAGTTGCAATATGGGGAAAAAACTCTAATGTTATTAAATGACCACAAATGAATTTCCAAAATGTTAAAAAGATTTTTTAATTGTTAGCCTTTCATTTTGGCAAAGCAGAGCCTGCATATGTTGTTTAGCCCATTGACTTGGAAACAGGATAACATTATTTTATAGGGCTGAAGGTTTGCTTTTATGTATAGGATATTGATTAAAGTGATATTTTATTCTTTTTGTTCTTCCCCTACCCATCACACCTTCCCTACACCTTTAGCTCCTTTCTTCCCATTTCTAAATGTCAGTAATCTTATTAGAATCTTATGCATTGTTGCAGACAAAAAGGGAAAAGAAAAAAATGTGAGAATGAAAAGATGAAAATAAAGTGTTTGTAGATGGGCAGGGGAGGAGGGGGTGAAAGGAGGGCAGAGGTAAGGGGAAAAAATGAGAATCAAGACTTGCCATGTAGAGGTACATGATCCCAACAAGGAATGTAACTGTACTGTATCCCTAAAATGTACCAATAAACTCAATAAAATTTAAAAAAAGTGATATTTTAAAATTTGAAGCACAAGAATGTGAAAGGACAGTGACTCAAACAAAAGATGCAATCTTAGATTTCTTGCATTTAAAAGCAGTTTGGAGAGAAGCAACCTCATTCTGGTATGGCAGCTCCAAAATTGTCAAGCATCTATCTGGTCCTTCATAGCCACTGCTCTGTTGTCCTTAGAGTGTGACCCTCATCCTTCTGGCTCAAGAAAGCAGCATGGAAGAAGGGAGAAAAGGAAGGATTCCCTAATCTTTTTGAAAAGATTAGCACTTAGATCTCATTGGTCAAAATACTATCACATGGCACCCACATCCTTTAGGGAGGATAGGAGATGTATATTCATTTTGGGGGAATAGTGAGCCCAGCTAACTAGGATACTGACAAAAGATGATGGATCTTAAGAAATCTTAACAGTTCATGGTGGATCTTAAGAAGTGAGTAGCTATTGGAAATTCAAGACTCAATTTGCCTCTTCAGTGCTTTGCTTTCACAGTTGCTCAGTGTCTTCTGTTACTAGGTTCATAGGAGTCAGGATAGATAGCAACACTCAGATCTTTCAGTTGTACCATTTAATGTAAGTGTGGGTTTGGTAAGTGCTAGAGCTTGCAGAAGAATTAATATGTCCTTAGGTTTGTAAGAGTTTCCTGAAAGTCCCCATATGGCAGCCACCAGAGACCTTTTCTCTTGGCCTCTCTCTTTTTTTTTTTTTTTCCTTTTTCTTAATATGTAGAGTGCCTTCCTTTTATACACATGCTGTTTGTTTTGTTTTTTCTTTCTAGTCATCACTGTTTTTGCTTCTTTTCTAGCTGGACATAGATGAAAACACTGCTGAAAAATTTTACCAATACTTACTGGAACTGGAAAAGCATGTTAGGGTCACCACTCAAAAATCAGATCTCCAGAGCTGATGTGACACCCTCATGACCATCAAGTAACCTTCTGTGCATTCATGGACATTTGACTTTGAATTGACCTGGATGATAACAGGCTTTTAGTAAAATTTAGCTGTGGTCTCTTTTACTCCCCTTAAGTATTATCTCTAAGACTGTTCATGTGTGCAGGTGTATGTACTGCTGATAAAAATATGGGTGTGTTACTTTTTTCTCATTGCTGAGAGAAAATATCTGACACCTAAATTTACAGGGGGGAAAGGTTCATTTGGCTTACAGTTTATAGAGGTTTCAGTCTATAACTGGTTGGATCCAAGGCAGGGTGGTAGAGGGGCAACAGTTCATGGTAGTAGAAGATAGCAGAACAACAAGAGGGGCCTTAACAGCATCTTTCTTACCTCTTTACCCCTTCCAGATTACGGGGATTAGGTGCTAGCTAATCACCCTTGTATAATGGTTTAGTAATCACATACCATTAATATCAGCATCACACATTCCAGTTTCAGCCCCCTCTTGAAAAAAGAAAGCCCCACCTCATTTGTATGAGGCTTTGAGGGAACATGTAAACACAAGGCATTACATTCTGCCCCTGACCCCCTAAAGAGTCATGCACATTCCCTTTATGCAAAAGGAATTTAGTCCATCTCTAAAAGTGAAAGTCCTGACAATTCCACTGCTGCTTAAAAGTCCAAGTCCAAAGTCTGCTCTGAGATTTAAGGCAAACTTGGTTACAAGCCTCTGTGCAAATGAAAGGAAAGTTAAACACTTCCGACATCCAACATCATCAGATAGACATTTTCATTCCAAAGGTTACAGGTAGGGAGATACAAAGAAATGGGGCCAAAGCAAATCCCAAATTAACAGGGCAAACATTAATTCCACAGTTCCACTTCCAGCATCCCGGAGTCCACGGTAAGTTGTGAACTTTAAAGAGCTAGAGTGGCTTTGCCCTTATAGCATTACAGATGATTGTAATACCCATGGCTTCTCTCTTGGGCTGGTTCTGCTCCTTTCTTGCAGTTTTCCACAGACAGTCCAGTACCTGTCTTCTCCAAACTTCTGGGGTCTCAACTGCATTTTAGTGTTCACTCACAGCTTTGAACACTGCCCTCTAGGGGCACACTATCTGACCCCTTAGGCCTTCTGAAATCTGGGTGGAAGCCTTCCTGACCCCACAACTCTTCCCTTCTGCACACACCTTAAATCAGCACCATGTGGATGATGCCAAGGTCTGCTGCCAGCTGGAACAGTAGCTAGTCTTCCTCTCTTGGCTGTAGGGGTTGAGTGTGATTATTGAACACTGAATCCAATTCTGAGAAACAAATTCTCTAGGCTGCTGCCATTTTGAAACATGGTACTCCAGGATTTTCTTTTCAAAGCAAAGTCTTTCACTTTTGCAATTTTGAGGCTGCAAAGTTGGTGTCCTGCTATTTCTTATGCCCTTGGGCTATCTTTTGTATTCTGTCCCTTCTCAGCAATCAAGATCTCTGCTCTATATTTGCAGTCCACAGCTTTACTAGAACTTCCTTTCTGCCAAACTCAAAATGTTTTAAATCATTCTGCTGGGCTTTTTGCTCTTGATTCTCAACATAGATCTGGCTAAAATCCCCTAATAGCATCCGTGCTATGGCCTTGACATTAGCCTGCCTTGAAATTTCTCCTGCCAAAGTAATTAGCCCACCACCCTTAAGCTCAGGCAAAGTCTCTAGACACAAGCAAAATGCAGACAAACTTTCTTCCAAGCCGTAACAAACATCATCTGGAGTCCAACAGCCAATGAAGTCTTTCCTCCCAGAAGAAACCTCCGAAGCCTGGTCTTTTGATTTCTGACTAGAATCTCCCATCCAGAACAGCCGTAAGGGATTCCAGTTTTACTTCTTCAGCTGGCATCTCTGAATCTTTCCTAACTTCTCCTTCCCATAAGCCAGTTCCAAAGTCTCTTTAGCTGCATGGCCAGGTAGTGTCACAGCAATGACCCCATTTCTCTAGTACCAATTTTGTTAGGGTCAGCAAGGAAATAGGTTGGGCCTATAACTTAAAGGATTAGGATGAGGATGATGATGATGACAACTGGTAATAGAAAATGTACTCAGGACCTTGTTCTTGTGAGGTAGGTGGCAGCACCACTAAGCTAAATCCCGGCCCTATAGGATTATTTTGTACTAGTTACCCAAAAAGTCAAATGAAGAGAGGTGCAAGAGATCTAATTACACACTGGATACCCATAGAATCCAGCTGAGGGCCTAGATCCCAGCATTTTCCCACACAAGTCCAGCTGAAAGCCTAGAGTCCAAGGCAATGTCCCTTGTGAGATCAGCCAGTGACCTAGAGCCCATGGCAATGTCTCATGCTTGTTTATGTCTCATCCTTGTCCATAACAGGGATCTGCATTGGGAAGGTCCTAAGTCCAGCGGTGGAAACTGGAAAGCCTGTGCTGGAGGGGTGAAGGATTTGTGCCACTAGGCTGAAGACCTGCACTGGAGCCAGGAAGTGACACTCATGGCAAAGATCAGAACAGCCCTGATGAACAGCAGCCATTCCTAGTGACACTTGAGGGAGGACCTGAGCTCCTCCTTTGATGAGAGATCAGCCGTTCGCTGCAGGAAAACCACGCATTACAAACCTCCAAGAAAATCAACAACATACAGTCTTCCCTTCCAGTTCTCTATGCCATTGGCAAAAATCATTAGGTGGATCTTCCATGCCCAGGCCATGCTGGTTCAGTTTTATTGGGCATTCCAAGTTGACTAATAGTTAATCCACCACAATGGGTAAAAATAGCAATTAGATATTCTCTAGAATGGGTGTCACACCAAAGTGACTAGTCCAAGAGAACACCTGTTTATATTGTTTTACCAACTGGACCCCAAGCTAGACTCTGTGAAAAAGGACAAATTGAATATTGTGATACAGGCACACTGTAGACCTCCTACAGCTCTGGCTCCAGCAAGAGGATGATCCATTTTCTGAGTGACAGTCTTAGCATTATTCCTTTCCTTGTGAACAACATTTTCCTTAGTTTTTTTTTTGTTGTTGTTTTTGTTTTGTTTTGTTTGCTTTGTTTTCTTCTTCCTGTGCCACATCTATGATCCTAACAAGATTGTTAGAATCCAAACCATCCTAATATAGATGTCCATGTACTTAATCTCAGGAACAAAAATATATGTGTTTGGATTACTCAAATTATTTTTGTCACTTTAAAATTATCTTTTATTGATTTAGGGTTAGTTCAAGTGAACACCATTCGCCCTTAACACCATTTGAAGATTTGTTAATTAGTGATCAACTTATTTTCTTGATCATATTTTAATAGCTATAAACTTGCAGCAAAACATTATGTACTCAAATTAAGTTACAGTAAAATTCTAATTTAAGTACTGATTGGATATTGGTACTGTGAAAAGTACACTACAGAATAATGGAAGAGAATGGGTCATTTAATTTACATGTGTCAGCTAAGCACATGTAAAAACACACTCTTTATGAATCTTAAAATGTTTACATCCCAAGCCTCATTTGCTATGAAATAAAAAGCTAAAATACCTCAATAATTTTAACATAAAACCAACATAACATTTGAATATGATAAAGTCAGTAAAAGTTTGAATGAATATATATAAAAGGGGAAAATAGTATATGTTATGGCTTGGGTATAGATGTCCTCCCAAAGCCTCATGCAGTTATAGGTGGTGCTTTTTTAGAGGTGCCTGAATGCAGAGTGTGTGATTGACTCATGGTGCAGACATAGGCCTGAGGGCACTAAGATAAAGGGTGTGATTGCTACCCTTTGGAAGTAGTCTGGATAAAATATAAGGGGCAGGGGCTGGGAATTTAGCTCAGTGGTTACACCACCTGCCTCAAAAGCACAAGATCCCGAGTTTGGTCCCCAGTACCCCCCCAAAAAAAAGATAGAGGCAGGAAGAAGCTGTTAAGGACTCTTGTTGCTTGCTACCTTCAGTCCTCCATGAAATTTTGCCCCTTTGCCAAGTGTCACCCTGCCTTGGAGCCAGCCAATTATATACTGAAGCCTCTACAAACTGAGCTAAACAGACTTTTCCCCCTTTAATTTTGGGTGTTGGGTATCTTTGTCTCAGCACTGAGAAAAGCAAAGTAACTAAGTCAATACATAAATACAATTTCTCTATAGTTTAAGGTATATATAGATTTTTTTGCTTAGAGTTTCTCTAGTTTTGTTGTTGAAGATTTTTTTTTTTATAAAGATAAGTATTGTATAGGAGAAAATGCAGTATGCAGCCCCACACCCTTCTGCTGTCTTAGGAGAGCCAGGGCAAGCTGCAGGTAGAGCTGGCTTGCACTCGAGTCACCCGCTGTCACCCTGGAAGCAGCCTGCTGTGGATCTCAGGTTCTTCCTCTGTAAAGTGGAGTAATTATCTTTGTGCTTCCTCTACTCATGGGTATTAACTGAGGAGTTAATGCAATAAACATATGAATGAATGAATGAAGATTTTATTTTGCTGTTTGAGAATCATGATGCCAAAAAGTCCTGGTCAGATGCTGCAGTGCAAGATCCTGAGTAATAACTGCCTGTATGACTGGCAGAGGGTGGGAGGAGGAGAATGGGCGCTAGGGTACACATGGGATTAGAGTTGTCTGTGGGCTGATTCTAGGTGTGTTGTGAGCCTGAAATCCTGGCACTCTAGGAGCTGTGGCAGAAGAATCACAGATTGGAACCTGGCCTGGGTAATTTAGCAGTAACTTGTCTCCACTAAAAAGGGCTGAGAATGTATCTTTCAGACAGTTTTATCACTAAAATGCATTCATAAAAAAGTAATCCAGAGCCAAGGATTAACCCAGTGGTACCACACCTGCCTTGCAAGGGCAAGGTCCCAAGTTCAATCCCAGATACAAAAACAACAACAAACAAACAAACAAACAAAGCCCCCATGCTTACCTTTTTAACTCATAGGTCAAAAGTGAAGTCCTATTAGAATTTACTTTATGTTCCTTTTTTAAAAATTGAGTTTATTGGTACATTTTATGTATACAATACAGTTACATTCATTATTGGGATCTTGTACCTTTACATGATAGGTGGTCTTGGATCTCATTTTACCCCCCTTGTCCCTGCCCTCCCTTCACTCCCTGCTCGCCTCCCCATTTAAAAACACTTTACTTCCATTTTTTTCATTTTCTCATATTTTTTCCCTTATTACCTTTCCCCTACTCTTCCCACTTTCCCTACACATTTAGCCCGTTTCTTCCAAATTCACAATGTCAGTTGTCTCATTAAGGGTCTTATGTACTATTACAGTTTATTCACACCAGATAAATTATTTGGTATTTACACACGTGTGACTTATTTATTTCACTTAGGAGTATGTCCTCAATATGTATCCATTTTCCTATGAATGGCTTTAATTTCTCACTCTTTATGGCTGAGTAGTATTCCATTTTATAGAAAAACTACACCTTCTTTATCCAGTCTCCAACTGATGGGCAAATGGGCTGTTTCCCAGTTTTAGCTATTACAAACTGTGCTGCTATAAACATGGGTGTGAATATATCACTCTGGTATAATTATTTTGGAAAGATACAAAGCAGAGGGATGGCTGGGTCAAATGGAACCTCTAGTCCCAGCTCTTTGAGGTATCTCTGTATTGATTACCATAGTGGTTGCACCAGTCTGCATTCTCACCAACAATGGAGAAGGGTTCCTTAATCCTTACAACCCCACCAACATTTGCTACTGTTTGATTTCTTGATAGCAGCCATTCTTTGTGAGGGGTGAGGTGGAATCTCAGTGTTGTTTTCATCTGCATCTCTTGAAAGACCAGTGATGTGGAACTTTTTTTCATACATTTATTTGCTGTTATTACTTCTTTGAGAAATGTCTGTTCATTTCAGATGCCCATTTATGAATTTGGTCTTTATATTAGGGGGGCTGATTATTTTGAAATATTTATACATTCTAGATAATAGTCCTTTGTCTGAGGAGCAGCTCGTAAAAATTTTTTCCCATATTGTAGGTTGTCTCTTAGTTCTGTTGATGGTTTCTTTTGCAGTGCAGAAGCTTTTTTTTTTTTTTTTTTTTTTTTTTTTTTTTTTTTTGGTACCAGGGATTGAACTCGGGTCCTTGCACTTGCAAGGCAGGCCACTGAACCACTGAGCTAAATCCCTGGCCCCAGAAGCTTTTTAATAAGATGAGATCCCAGTTGTTGATTCTTTCTGCTAGTTCCCGTGCTACTGAGGATTTGTTCATAAAATCTTTTCCTATACCAATGTCTTCAAGAGTTCTGCCTAACTTATCTTCCAGCAAGTTTAGTGTTTCTGTTTTAATATTTAGATCTTCATTCCACTTGGATTTTAGTTTAAGGCATGGTGAAAGATAAGTGTCTAGTTTTAATCTTTGACAGATTGACATCCAGTTTTTCCAACACCATTTATTAAAGAGGCCATTCTTCCTCCAGTGGGGATGGTCAGCTCCTTTTTCAAAGATGAGGTAGCTGAGTACATCTGGAGTTGTTTTTGTGTCTTCCAATCTATTCACTGATCCTCAGATCTGTTTCTTTGCCAGTACCATGCTGTTTTTATCACAGTGGCTTTGTAGTATAGTTTGAAATTGGGAATTGTTTTACCCGTTGTCATGTGTCTGTTGCCTAGGATGGCTTTTGCTATTCTAGATCTCTTTTGGTTCCAAATGAATTTTTGGATTATTTTTTCTAGTTCTGTGAAATACAGAGTTGGAATTTCAATTGGCATTGCATTGAATCTGTATAGCAATTTTGGTAGTATGGCCATTTTCACTATGTTGATTCTTCCTACCCAGGAGCAGGGGATATCTTTCCATTTTCTTATATCCTCTTTGATCTGTTTTTTTCAGAGTGCTGCAGTTTTCACTGTAGAGGTCTTTTGTTTCTTTTGTTAGATTGATTCCTAAATACTTCATTTTTTTTGGATGCTATTGTGAACGGAATTGTTTCCCTAATTTCTCTCTCAGTGACTCTGTTATTTGTGTACAAGAAGGCTATTGATTTTTGGGTGTTGACTTTGTATCCAGCTACTCTGCTAAAAGTGTCAATTAAGTCTAGAAGTCTTTTGGTAGAGTTTTTTGGGTCTTCAATGTAGACTATCATAACGTCAGCAAATAAAGACAGTTTAACTTTTTCCTTTCCTATATTTATTGCTTTCATTTCCTTCTCTTGTCTAATTGCTATGCCTAATGTTTCCAGAACTGTATGAAAGAGGAGTGGTGATAGGGGGCATCCTTGTCTTGTTCCTGATTTAAATGTGAAAGTTTTCAGTTTTTGTCTATTTAATATGATGTTGGATGTTGGTGTTTCATAGATAGCCTTTATTAAGTTGATGTATAGACCATCTATTCCAATTTTTTTGCAGGGTTTTACCATGAATGGTGTAGAATTTTGTCAAATGCTTTTTCTGCATCTATCGAGAGAATCACATAGTTTTTGTCCTTGACTCTTTTAAAATAGTGTATTACATTTATTTACTTATGTATGTTGAACCATCCTTGCATCCCTGGAATAAATCTAACTTGGTCAGGATATATGATCTTCTTGACGATCCTCTGTATTCTGTTTGCTAGTGTCTTATTAAGGATTTTTGCATCTATATTCATTAAGGAGATTGGTCTGCATTTCTTTTTTTTAGTTGTGTCTTTCCCTGGTTTGGGAATCAAAGTGATACTTGCTTCCAGGAATGAATTTGGAAGTATTGATTCCCTTTCAATTTCCTTGAAAAGTTTGAAGAGTAATGGCAGTAGTTCTTCTCTAAATATCTTGTAAAATTCATCAGTGAATTTATTGGTACCTGGGCTTTTCTTTGTTGGTAAATTTTTAATTACATTTTCAGTTGCACTGATTGTAATTGGGGTGTTTAAAATACTTTTATCTTCTGAGTACAACCTTGGTAATCTGTAAGTATCTGGGAATCTGTCCATTTTTTCTGTGTTTTCCATTTTTTTTAGAGTACAGGTTCTCAAAGTAGGTATTTACTATCCTATGGATTTCTGAGCCTTTTCTTTCCTTTTTTTGATAAGGTTAGCTAAGGATTTATGGATTTTATTTATTCTTTCAAAAAATCAACTCTTCGATTCATTTATTTTTGTATCATTTTCTTGGTTTCCATTGCATTGATTTCTGCTCTAATCTTTATAATTTCCTCTCTTGTTTGAGCTTTGGGTTTTTCTTGCTCTTGTTTTTCTAGGAGTCTAAAATTCATCATTAGGTTGTCTATTTGAGCTCTCTCTGTTTTCCTATTGTGGGCATTCAGTGCTGTGTAGAACTGCTTTCATTGTGTTCCATAGATCCGTGTATTGGCATTTTCATTTACTTGTAAAAACTGTCTGACTTCTTCTTTAATTTCTTCTGTGATCCATCAATGGTTCAGGAGAGAGTTGTTCAATTTCCATGTGTTTTTGAAGTTCCTATGGTTTCTTGTGCTAGTGATCTTCAGCTTGATTGCACTATGATTTGATAATATACAGGGAATAACTTCAATTCTTTTGCATTTTTTTCAAACCTGTTCTGTGAGCCAGTATGTGATCTGTCTTGGAGAATGATCCATGTGCAGCTGAATAGAATGTATATTCTGATTTTGTGGGGTGGAACACTCTATAGACATGTATTAAGTCCATGCATTCAAAAGCTTGGTTCAGTTCTAGTGTTTTGTTGTTCATTTTCTGCTTACATGATCTGTCTGGCTGTGAAAGTGGGGTATTTAGATCCCCACTACAATTGTATTAGTGCTTATTTGGGGTTTCATGTTTCTTAATATTACTTTTATATAGTTGGGGGCATTATATTTGGTGCATATATGCTTATGATTGTC